TGTAATGAAAAAACTGACATAAGACCATGATAAGCCAGCAAGCGGCAAACCCAAAATGAAAGTGGTAAGATTTTATCTGTATTTAGTATATGAACGCACACATGTGTATCCTAAGTGCACATGTAAACTTCTATCTATACATGTGTTTGTAGGTTATGTACTCGTTACCTCATTGATATGGAAAAACGGAACTTAATAAAGTTAACCTAAATGCTTTTCTCTTCTTTACATTTACTTACTTACTATACATAGACACATATTATACACACACACACACACACACACACACACACACACACACACAACAGGTGTGGAGGTCAGAGGACAATGTGGTGATATTTTGTGTATGCTCAAAAAAAAAAAAAAAAAAACAAATAAAGCTTGCCTGAAGATCAGAGTGCAAAACCAGCCACTAGTTAGCCATAGAGGCCAGAACTCGGGAGGCAGAGGCAGACAGATCTCTGTGAGTTCATAAGATTGATCCAGAAACAGAACTAGGCAGTGGTGGTACACACCTTTGATCCCAGCACTTGGGATCTCATGTCTTTAATCCCACCACTAGGGAGGTGGAGACAGGAAGTGATATGGCTGGGTGGAGAGAGGAATGTAAGGTGGGAGGAAACAGGAGCTGGGGTCCTTTTCGGCTGAGCATTGTGTAGAGGTAAGAACTAGTGGCTGGCGCTCTGCTTCTCTGATCTTTCAGCTTTCACCCTGATATCTGACTCTGGGTTTTTATTACTAAGACCAACTAGGATTTGTGCAACAGGACAACTTACAAAATCTGCCATTTGGGTCCAGGATTGAACTCAGGTTGTTAAGCTTGCCAAGGAACAACTTTAGTCCATCTCGCCAGTCCCTAAACCCTTCCTAAATCTTAGTAACTCTGAAAAATGGTAATGTGCAGGTTTATATGGCTTACTCATCTTTAAGTTCATGTTATGATAATTAAATGCCATGTGTGGCATACCTGCCTATGATCCTAGCACGTGGAAGGTGGAGGAAGAGAACCAGGAGTTCAGGACGAATGAGTACAACTACAGAAGCATCTATAACAGGTTAAGTCATTTTCATTTGAGGTCTGGGTCATTCCTAGATAAGTCAAAAATAACAAAACATCAGGATCATAGGTTAAAATTTTACATACTTCAACATTTTGCTTTATTACTTTAAACAAGTTTAAATATACTGGGTCTGTTTCCACATTTGAGGGTGTTATGAAAACAGCACATACTTTACAGACTTTGTAAGTTGGTCTATACAAGGTGCTGGCACACGACTGCTAAGGGTTATGACTGAAACTCCAAGTAAGAGGAGAAACCACTGTCTGTGAGGAAACTGAGGTGTGTCTTATAAAGAAAGTTACAAGTATAGGGATATGTTTTTAGTAAAGTGCTCCAAGAAAGAGTATGTCCATTGTTACTCTGAGACAGGGCTCGCTCTGCAGCCCAGGCCATCCTGAAAGTACATGGCCTGGACTGGATTCAGGACCCTCTTACCTGCTGCTCTGCTGCCTGTCTGCTGGTATTACAGACATGTGCTACCACACCAGGCCAAGAGTCATTTGTATTTGTCTGAGAGAATCTTGTATGGTCAAGATGACAAGGACAAGAGGCTGGGGAGGCGGCTCAGCAGTCAAGAGCACTGGCTGCTCTTCCAGAAGACCTGGGTTTGATTTCTAGCACTCACGTGGAGGCTCACAGCCACCTGCAACTCCAGTGCTGAGATCACATGCTCTTCTGGCCTCTGTGGGTACTGCACACACACACACACACACACACACACACACACACACACACACACACACACACACACACCCCAGATTATAGGAACAAAAGTAGAGAACAAACAGAAAGTGCCAGCAGGAGTAAAATTTTGCAACTGTTGCCTATTAAGGAATATATCTTATAACAAAACCACTGCTAGTGTTTTGAGAGGCTAGGCTATCAAGCATAAGAAAAGCAAAAATTCAATTTAAAAAATGGACTGCAGGTAAATATAGGCTAACAGTCCCTCCTTCTAAACCAAATCTTTCAGCTACTTAAATTTGATTAAAAGGGTCTTTTGTCACTACCTACCACTTACCAACACAGGATCAGGTCAGAGCAACTGAAACAAATATTTTGGCAACAAGTGACCAAGACTAAAACACAGGATGGCTGATCAGCAATGTCTTCCGAGAACATTGTTCAGAGACAAGGGATGAAGTTGTCAAACAAGACAACAACACACAGGAAGGAGGAAGGGAGGGAAAAATGGACTCTCTTGGGTCAGCCCTTCCAAAAGTAACCAAAGCTGAGAGGTCACAAAGAACAGGGTCCTTTCTTTTACTTATTTATTTTATGTGTACAGTTTTTAACCTTTATTTTTATTTTATGTGTATGGGTGTTCTAAGGGCATGTACGTCTGTTTGCCATGTGTGTGTAGTGCTTATGGATACCAGAAGGGGGTGTGCTGGATCCCCTGAGACTGCAGTTCTGGAGAGCTGTGAGCAGACATGTGGGTGTTAGGAATGTAAACAGGTCCTCTGGAAGAGCAACCAGTGCTCTTAATCACCGAGTCATCTCTCCAGCCTGTTATGAGGATGGAAGTGTACCATGTGTGTAGAATGCTCCCAGGGGTGAGGAGAGAATGCTGAGGCCCGAGAACTGGAGTGAGAAACTGATGAGAGCCACCAGACAGGCACTGATTCTCAGCAGAAGCAAAAAGGCAACAAGTTTATCAATGACTGAGCCGTGTTTCCAGCTCCCGAGGTGACCTCACTCACTGGGTGCCTTCTGACTTCCGTTTCTACACGTGCTTTGTTATTTCTTCCAGGCACAGACATATTTCAGGATTTCCTCATCAGTCCGTCAACAGATGGCAGAGCATCCAAAGCCCTCAAGAATGAAGAATGGACAAGAAACTTTTTCCAGGACATCCCGTTGTGGCTGCATTCCTGCTGAGCTCCTAGCTTGGCTCCAAAGAGCAGCACCTAGCCCTAATCCTTCCTTTGTCTAACCACATCTTTTGTTTCTCTTATCGCCCTATGTGAATCTTGTCTGAGAGTCAAGGATCAGAGCGTCCCCCAAGGATCAAAGGCCTATGCAAAATTTGGTTCAAGAAATCCGGAAAACCCTGGTACCAGAGAAATCAAGTAATTTGCACTTGGCATTTTATCTCTGGGAGCTCCTTTTTAGGTTGCTTTGAAGGTATAGAAATTAACTGGTTAAATTGTAAATAGAGTAAATAAAACTGCCCTAGGTGAAGGCAGAGTGCTTCAGTCCTTCGAGGCTGGAGCTGCCAAAGGCTAAATTCACTCTTAGGGTGCCTCTGAGTCTTTTTTCCATGGAGCCGCGTGTACCCACACACCCATGCCGCGACCACCCCATTCAGCTGTGAGGATAACCCAATACCCTGACAGCACCTTCTCCCAGGGAGAGCATCTCATGGCTTATCTCATAGCCAACCTGTCACATGTGTATCCCTAGCCTTGGATTCCTCTAGCCCTGCAGTGGCTATGCCATGAGAAGTTAGAATCCTTCTCTGCCCAGTTCTGGCCCAAACTCGAAAAAAGCCTATCTCTGTTTACCAATTCCTATTTCCCAGTGCACCTCAGACTCAGGAGCAGCCTAGTGAACGAAGACTCAAGAGCTCTGTGCTCTTTCACTCAGTCCTGATTACTGAAGTTTTCTCCATCTTGAAAGAGCTGAGCTTTTGTTAAAACTTATTTTCTTTAAGACTTTTTAAAAATTAATTATTATTGTTTTGGGTGCATGTATGTCACAGCACACATGTAAAGGTCAGGGGATAACTTTGTGAAGTTAGCTCTCTCTATCCACTTTTATGTGGACTCCATGCATCAAATGAAGGTTGCTAAGCTCACGTGGCAAGCACCTTTACTTGAGCCGTCTCACTGGCCCCCTTTTAAAATTTTTTTATTGTGACTTTGATTGAGTGATTAACCAAGGTAACACTTATCAAGCAATTTAAACTCCTTTATCTTTTTAACAAATATCTCCAAATCAAATTCTTAAAAACTCTGAGATTTCTAGAAGGCACCTGAACATTTGAGAGACTTGTATTTGTATAAATGTATCATTAGTATATGCTTCAAAATGGTATGAGATTTCTAGAATCAGATACATCTTGTAAGTTTTCAGTCATAATTGTAATGATAATTTTGACTTCTTAAGAAACCCTTAAAAAATCCAGTATCTCACTATATATCCCAGACTGACCTCAAACTTGCAATCCACCTGCCCCCCAGTGCTAGGATTAAAGGCATGTGTCATCAAGCCTGGTCCACATCTGCCATAATATAACATCTAAAATGAACCCACACAAGTGAGGATTTACCTGTGTGGTCCCAAATTATGGAAAGCAGTTCTACTACCAACCTTCGGCAGTTAAGGGGACCGTGAGAGAAGTCCTGCCTCACAAATACCTATCTATGCAGCTCTCCAGTTATCTGCCAGTCACTTTCACAAGAGTACCATCTAAAACACAAACCATGGGATGGAGAGATGGCTTAGCCATTAACAGCACTTTCTGGTCTCCCAGAGGACCCCCAGTTCGGTTCCGGCACACATACTGGGTCTCTCACAACTACCTGCAACTACAGCTCCAGGGATCTGAAGCCCTCTTCTGGCCCCCATGAGCTCTGCACTCATGCGGCTTACATTCACATAGAAACACACACATGCACATAAAATAAAAAATAAAAATAGAAACACAACCAGAGTTCCTGGCAGTTCCCTAGGCATGGTGGTGCATGCCTTTAACCCTAGCACTCAGGAGGCAGAAGCAGGCAGACGCGGAAGTTCCAGGGTAGTTTGGTTTACAGAGTAAATTCCAGGCCAGCCAGGACTACATAGTGACACTCATCTAAAAAAGGTATGAAATAACCACCCACAACTCAAACCCCCAGGACCCTCAAGCCCCACAAAGACCAAAAAGATTAATCTTTCCTAACTCTTAGATGAAGTGGGACCTGTCCCCTCAGAGCTCATTTCCCGGCCTACCTTCCTTTTCCAAGGAGAGAAAGGCCGAGATCAGTCAGAGAGGCTTTCAGAGAAGAACGGTCTGGCTTTCTGGATCTGCTCCAGTCGATTCAAGATGAACTGGCTCGTATCGATGAAGCGCTCGACGCAGTTCACCAGGCAGACCTCGGCCCGGCCGTCCAGCTTGGGCCCGGGCTTGTCCATGCACTTCTCCCAGCACAGCTCCGTCATGTGGTGGACCAGCAGCTGCACGCGCTGTTTCTGCGTCTCCACCTCCACGAAACGCTGCAGCTGCGGGTCTGCGGCGTCAACGGGGCCCACCGGGGAAGACCAGCTGGCCTCCATGCCGACCAGCCGCACGGGCGGAAGTGCCCCGGCTAGGAACAGGAACCGGAAGTATCATGGGCTGCCTCAGGACCACCAGCTTTGCGACGCTATCCCGCAGGCCGCTCCGTCTGGCTCAGCGACTCTAAGATTTTAAAGTGTTAACACTATTAGACCCTGTAAGGCTTTCCAAATCTTTTAATGAACAAGCTGATGGTTTTATGAAATGCTCGTCAAGATCAATGAAGATAAAGAAGACAATGATCGAATCAATGGAAGATGTGTTTTCGTGACCTTTGGTTTATCCTAAACCTGTTGGCTTAGATTCTCGAAGATAAAATTTGACTGGAGTTAGAATTGCAAAGAAACAAAAACCCTACAGAGGGGCTCTTCATTCTAACTGGACCTCATTTTACCAGGTCCTAACTGATGACAGTGTCTCCCTCCACTGTCGACCAGACCGTCATCATCCTCACCCCAGTCTCCCAGGCTCGAGTACAGCATCGGAGGGAGCGTCTTGGGGAGTAAGGAGCACTCTCACGCCAGGACTTTAGATTGCTCCTTGTTTGTTCAGTTTTTATGTGTCCCACCATTCCAAACTGGGGGCGGAATGAAAAGACATGGCCCCAGGAGAGGACACCGTGCACTCGTGTATGACTCCAGCCGCTACCCTCCTGTTGCCACCTGCCCGTCGGCAGCTGGCCTCTTCCTGTGGAACAACCACTGGACCTTCAGCTCTTTAACTCAGGAAGATCTGGGTCAAAAATGAGAAATAAAAAAAGGATTGAAATGTCACTAGAGGGCCGGAGAGATGTTTCAGAGTTTAAGATGGTTTAAGAGTCTGATGCCCTTGAAGAAGACTGAAGTAGTTCCCAGACCCCCATGGCAGCTCACAACCATCTGTAACTCCAGTTCCAGGGGATTCGACACCGTCTTCTGAGCTCTATCGGCACCAGGCATGCAGGTGGTCGCAAACATACATGCGAGCAAGCACCGTTTTTGTTTGTCTGTTTTTTTTGAGACAGGGTTTCTCTGTGTAGTTTTGGTGCCTGTCCTGGATCTTGCTCTGTAGACCAGGCTGGCCTCGAACTCACAGAGATCCGCCTGGTCTGTCTCCTGAGTGCTGGGATTAAAGGCATGCATCACCACCGGCCTGGCTTTTTTTTTTTTTTTTTTTTTTTTTTTTTTTTTAAGAAAATGTCACAAGAATGAGGTCATAAAGTTTTCAATCTGGAGGAAATAAGACAAGAGACACCAGTTGGACAGGTTTTTGGAGACTTTGATGCCATAAAGGTAAGAAATACTCTCACCCAAACCCTTTTTACTGTTGGCTGGATGTGTAAGTGACGACCAATGAAACTCTTAGGCTGTTTACTACCAGCACAATTGCTCCCTTTCCCTTCTTGTTCCTCTTAAATGTAATGTTTTATTTTATTTTAGAAACTCTATGGATCACAGTCCAGCCCTGAACTTGATAGGCAGCCTAGGCTGCTACCAAATTCTTAATCCTCCACTTCTGTCCCATAGAGTTCTGGGGTTACAGCTGAACGCCATCACACTTGCCAGGGGTCAAGAAATCCGACTCTTTATTTTTTCCTGCAGTGCTGGTGACTGAGTCCAGGGCTTGTGCATGCTGTACAAGCCACTGTCATTGAGCCACGTGCCCAACTCTTTCCCCTGTTGAAATCTGTAAAACTGTGAAACCCAGACCCTTTGGGTGCCATTTTGGAACACTTACTCTGGGCAATTAGAATTCATGTTTTCTTCTTGAGTGGCTCTCCTCATTTTGGCTGGAATAAATATTTTGTTCTCTCCCTTGGTGTGCCTTGCCTGGCCTTTTCAGGTTGCTGCTTATGGATGTGCATGGACACAGGCATTTCACAATCACATTCACACACGTGAGCTCACGGTGCACACCTAGCTCCCACTGGCTACTCAGGAAATGCTCACTGAGTGAATAACTAATGTACAGACTATGAGGGGGCATTCCATACCGTCTTGCCTTTCTTGGGCTTCTTAGTTGGTACCATTTAACAAGGGGACTCTGTCTTGAGGACATGAAGGACATTACTTAGTGAGGCTTGTGATCAGTGTGTCAGTCATTTATCTCTAAAAATTGTTTCAGCTCTTATGTGGGCAGTAGGGAAGGAAATTTGTGACAAAATAGGAATTTTTAAAATCTAACTTATCTTTGACAGACCTGGAATTTGGGAAGCATCATTTAGGGACCCAATTTAAATATGGGAAAAATTGGGCGTAATGGTCTCTGTCAGTGGGAGGCAAGTTTGGGGTGTGTTGACACATACTCTGGCCTGTGGGAAACCAGAGCATGTGGGAAGCTGTGCCAAGTTACAGGGAGCCACGGACGTGCTATCCCAACCAGGGAACAGAGCTGGCTGCTGAAAGCATTGGGCTTCATTTAGGTTTCAGAGCCAGCCTCTGAAGAAACAAAACAGCCACATTTCAGTGCAACGGTCTCATAACTGAGGCACAGTTTTAATCAATGGTTGCATGAAGTCCTCGTTTATTAGCCACTGGTATAGCAGGGGAAACTATTTTCTGTGAAATAGAAAGAAGAAAACAGTGGTGGCCAGAGGGCAGCCCAGCCTCTTGCCTTCCCTGCTGGTGAAGGGCAACTTAATTTGCAAGAGAAGGCCAGTTAGCCCCATAACTCCAGCTCTTGGAGTAATGCCTATCTGGATTGCAAATGTGTCTTTCCAGCTCCATTAAGGCGCCTTGCCCAAACCACACAACCCAGGGAGTCTGGAGCCAGGGCCACCTCCCTCTACTTTTCTCCTAAAAGCTGAGCATATGTGAGTCCCCAGACAACCCTTCATGCTTTACCTGGCTCATTGCTCCCAGTTAGAGCAGAACAGTGACTGCTCTTGAATTTCCTGATGCTGATGGCTCCGTTCTTACATATGTGGTCTGAATCTCAGCCTGTGGGGGACATAGAAACAGAGCTGAAATGAAACAGGCCTCCTGGGGGCATCTTTCCTCCCCACCCTCCCTGTCACAGCCAAGCAGCATCCTGTGGCAGGGGCATTACCTTGGCTGATACCCTGGCTTTTTGTTTGTTTTGTTTTAGCAGGAGTGTAAAGGGAGGAAGCTGTAGAGTCTAGTACCGCGAACAGGTTCATTTTCTACAGAAGAGCAAGTGCAAACGGGCACTCTTCCATGTTTCGCAGATAGGAGAGTGGCAGGCTGTTTAGCAGGTCTTTGGTGACATCTTTGTGTGTCGATACCTTAGTGAGCTAGGTAAGTTAGCAGGGACCTTCTTGGGTGCCTGAAAGGCCTTTGATCCCATTGCAGATGCCCTTCCATCACCCTGGATCTTGGTTCCAGCCTTTTCTGCTCCTGTTGTAATGCGTTCCTGACCTTACCCTGCTCATAGATCACGTCACTCCCTCTGGAAGGCAGACCAGAGTCACCTCATACCATTGAGCAAAACCTGCTGATATATCCAAAACGGCTGTCTAGATTGTATTTGGAGGAGACACTTCAGAGGAATTCTGGAAGCCCTTTTGATAGTTTTTCCCACATGTGATTGTATTATTAATAATTGATTGCCCCTGAAGAGAACTATACCTTACCCTTTCCAGTCATACCTCTTTGGGTCTCAAGACAGGTACTTTTTGTGGGAAGGAAGTGACAAGAGAGTAACTTCATAGTAAGGCCTCAAAGAGCAGTATTTCCCAAGAGCAGAAGGGTATGCAGGGAGGGTGGAATATTTTGTGCTACTGAAGAAAGAACCATGAGATGAGGTGCACACAAAGGCTAAGGAGCAAACCTTTGCCAGGTGTGGGACAAGAGCTTACAGCGTGCCAGTCTGATGGCTGGCCTGGAACTTGTCATTTAATACTCTCTTTTCGGAGGATCGCACCAACATCAAGAAGCAAAAGAGCAAAAGACCCCAGTTGAGAGTTAGGTGGCCCCAGTCTGAGGCATAAGGTCCCAGGAGCTTGGTGGTTTAGTGGCTCCTGCTGTGACTGTTCAACCCATGCCAACCTCCCTCGACCCACAGCTGTTGTGACAGCTCCACCCACTCCTCCTTGGGTGTGACTTTTCTGTGGCTTCCAGCAGGGCAGAGCATCCTAAGCAACTGTTTGATGCCAAATACTAGGGGAAAGAGAAAGCCTAGGACTGTTCTGGGCTTAGTCTGTTGGAGAAACAGAACACGTGAGTCCAGTGAGTTCCTGTCCAGGGCCAAACAAGCAAGGAGGGACAGAGTTCTAAGTTCTGCAGAAGTGGGAGGCTGCAGGAGGGACGTGTGGCAAGACCTCCAGGGAAGAATAGCCTGTGGTCAGTGGGAAGGGGCGCAGACATCAGGCTGAGGAAGTAAACAGTGGCAGTGAGTGAATTCTGAGGGCCTTACAGTGCTGAGGCTAGGAGGTGACATGTCCTGAGTAGGAACCACAGAAAAACCAAAAAGAGGGACTGACTAATGGAAGAGTCCAGGCACTTGAGCAGTGAGTGTCAATCAAATCAAGAAATGGAAACAAATTATCCAATAGGCATCAGCTAGCGCTCTGCATGTGCTTAGATTGATTCTAGAAGGTGAACTGACTTATGGCTTAGACCCTGCTGAGCTGAACTCAGTGTGGTTTGAGAAGGAACTATTCAGGGAAGGAAGGGTAGAGGAAGAAGATCCACCCTCCTGTGCACAGCTAGAAAACTCAGGGTAGACATTGGTACTTAAGGCATGTTCTGTAGGGGTTTATCATTTTCATTGAGGACTCAAATCAGCCTATATACCCATGGGATCCTGATGGGGGCCAGGTGGGTTGTGAGAGGTAAGCAAATGCATGTGTGTTTATGGGTATGTAGCTGTGTGTGCAAAATTTTTAAACAAAGCCAGAGCTGAAGAGTAGAGTGGTAAAGGCAGGTTTCAGGCAGGAACTGTTGTAATAAGAGAAGTGGGCTTTGCCATAGACTTCCTTCCCGGAGTCAAAGACTGGACATAGTTTGCTCATGCTAGGCAAGTGCTGCACCACTAAGTGTGTGCACAGTCAACATTGCTGTCGGTAGGTCTGGACTCTGCTTTAATACAGACAAGTGGAGGTCTGCTGGCCAACAGCAGGCATGCAGGAGGGATTTGCTGGAATACAAGCATGGAGTCAGGAGTTCCTGCTGCTTCACTCTGGTAGGATTCCTGCTGAAGGTGGGTGAAGGCCCTCAGACATGGAAACAGAGGTGAGAAATTGGACCACATAGTGAGGATAACTGGATATCATGAGTGGAGGGGTCTCTCTACATGGGCTTAGCGGGTCTGTCTTTGGAGTACTGACATGAGATTTAAACTCAAATAGAAAATGAATTTGGGCAGGTGGGGAAAGAGCAATGCATAATTGAGCAGTCCGGGTCAAAGTGTGATCTTGCCCATCAGTGTCTCAACTCTAGCCCTACTAGTTCTCCTAGCTTGAGGGCGTCAGCCTCGTTCCTATGGATGATCACTTCTGCACCAGGATGCTTGCTATTGTGGTAACTGCCTTCATCTGGTGACTGATAGAGCTTGTGAGCTTATTATTAGTCAATGAATCCTGACACTGTAGAAAGACAAATGTGTCCAATTACACTTCTGACAGTTCACTCACCACAAGATGACTTAGCCCTGGGCCTTCAGCTTTGGAGGGATCTCATGATAGGTTGGACAGGCCCTCCTCCAGTGATTAGCGTGCCACCTGCAGAGGTTGATTGAGAGGCCCAAGTAAAGGAGATGGATACACAAACGACGGCGGGGGGTGCCAGGCTCCACGCTGCACCCTCAACTTAAGCAAGGAGTCATCGCTTTTTGGTTTTTTGCAAAAGCAGCTTCTGCCAGGCAGTGGTGGCACATGCCTTTAATCCCAGTACTTGGGAGGCAGGCCGATCTCTGAGTTTGAGGCTAGCTTGGTCTACATAATGAGTTCCAGGACAGCCAGAGCTACACAGAGAAACCCTGTCTGGGAAGAAAAAAGCAGCTTCCAAGAACCTATTTCAAGGTCACTAGACCCCCTTTTTCTGTCCTCTTCTCCAGTGTGGCCTCCATGAATAAATCACCTAGCTGTCTCTTTAAGTGATGTGTTGGGACAGGTGGCCTGCTAGACTGCCAGAGCCAAGATTTTGTTTTAAAAACTAGTTCCATCACATCCTTGCCCATCATCTTGAAGCAGTTGCCAGGAGTCAGCGTAGCAGGCCTAGGGCCCTACAAGACTGTGGTGGCCTCTGACCATGGCTCCTCTAATGTTGGTCTCTCCTGCAGCTGCTACTTGAAGTACTGTGAACTGGGTTGCCTAAGACATCAGACACTCTTCCTTATTTCTGGGGCTAGAAACCTGAAGTCAAGATATGGACTGTCTTCTAGCTGCCCATAGCTCTTTGGTCATCTTGGCCATTTATATTAATGCACCATCTCTGCTCCTGACACTATTTCACATGTGTTGGCACAGAGACCATTCACTCCAAAGGAATTGAGAGAGAGTTTATTCTGAGCCAAGGCTGAGTGGCATGGTCAGAGAATATGGGTTAAATTTGTCCCTAGTGACATGTTTCATTTTCTAAGTAGTTATATGACCTTTGATTGTTTTTGGGCAAAAGGCAGTCAGTCATATATCTAGGCATTTTCCAAATATGTTGCTGGGAGCATCAGGTAGGCAGGTTATAGCAAGGCAGGGAAATCTCTTCTCTAGGTCTCAGGTACTATTTGATAACATTTTTAGTTTGGGGTGGGTGGAAGTAACAGGTCTGCTAAGGATACAGTCAGAAGATTTTACCTGATAGTCAAAGATGCTAGATCAGACCCAGAGACAGGTGAAAATTGGCTAGCAAAGGAATGAAAGGTAACCCATGATGATGTGGCTTCCCATCTGTCATGTTCCAGCTCGCCACAACCAGGCAGTTCTTAACGGACAGCCAGTCTATAAAATCTTTCAATGTAAGCATGGCATTTTCAGGGAACTTCTGTTCACAAGTGGCATTTACTGTTTTTATAAAGATGCCAGCCATCCAAGACCTACATTAAAGACCTCATCTTCACTATCTGATGTCTTCAGGCATCCTACTGTTAACTATGGGAAAGTGGAGGACGGGAGCAATCCTGCAGGTCTCAGGGGTCCTTGTCCTGCACATGGAATCTCAAAATGGATCATGGAAATCCTGGATCATAATCTCTGGGAATAGACTGTGGTTGTCTAGCTAGCAGGGGTGACTGGGGAATTTTGCTGTTAGCTTCTGACAGTTTTAACCACTTGCCATTTTGTGGGGACAGCAGGGAGTTTCACAAAGCAGCATTTAGACACTCAAATGCTCTGATGCCCTTGGTTTTCTTCAGAAAGCACATTCCCACCGAAAGCCCCTACCTCCTGGGCATGGCCATGCACTGTGAGGTAACCACACCATCTTTTACTAAAGCTGTCTTTCTCCCTTGGCCAATTGACTGTGTAAGGGGCAGGCATGGAGGTCAGCTATGTGATGCTTGTGGCAGCCTGGGTGAGAGACAGGCCATCTTACCCTTGGGCACACTAACTCAGTGCACCAGGTCAACCTGAGGTGTCTTGAATGCCTCAAGATGTGGGTGCCTCTGTTCCTCTCCAATTGTGGGAACCTGGAAAGTTGTGTTGTTTTTCTAAATTAACTAACTAATTTTATGTAGCTGAAGTTTTCTCCAGTCCTGCCCAGCCCCACAGACCCTGTAGCCGCTTGTAAAATAATCACTCAGAAGCTTTATATTAATTAAAATTGCTCGACTATTAGCTCAGGCTAACAACTGACTAGCTCCTTCACTTAAATTAACCCATAATTCTTATTTATGTTTAGCCACATGGCTTGGCACCTTTTCTCAGTTCTGCCTTCATATCTTGCTTCCTCTGTGTCTGGCTGCCTTTCTCTTCCCAGAATTCTCCTTGTCTGTTTATCCTGCCTATACTTCCTGGCTGGCTACTGTCCAATCAGCATTTTATTTATCAACCAATGGGAACAACACATTCACAGCATGCAGAGCACCATCACCCATCATTTCCCTTTTTCTTTCTATTTAAAAGGAAAGTTTTAACTTTAACATAGTAAAATTATATATAACAAAACAGTTATCAAGCAAGAATTATAATATTTAGTCTATTTGTATTTGGCAAAAATAAAAAGATATCCTATCTATCCTATATTTGTGAGTCCAAGGTTTCATATCTAACTTATCTCCTATCAAAACCAAGGAAAGGCGTTGGGGGGAAGGTGAGGGGGACGGGAGGGGGGAGAACAAGGGAATCCGTGACCGATATGTAGAACTGAATTGTATTGCAAAATAAATTAAAATAAATTAAAAAAAAAAAAAACCAAGGAAAACCATAATTATAACTACCTAGTTTTCAACTACATCAAAGACCTCAGAAGGATATAATATTACCTAAGTAAAAAGGAAAAGCATTGTAAGCAACTTCCAAAAATCTAGAATGATAGAGACAGCTGGCTATCTGGACAGTTACTCAAAGTTCTTCTGCAATGTTGGGGCATCCATTCTTTAGCCTACAGACCTAGAGTCTCTCAGTCACTTCTCTCTGTATCCTGTAGAATGTCTGGCAGTTTCTTCTGCAAAGTGGCAACCTGAAGGACCATTTCATTTTGCGAAGTTCAGTGATCACCTTTCTATGGTCCTGCATGTCCACTTTATACAACATTTTGTCAAGCAGTCCAGGCAAGAACAGTTTCTTGCCCAAATGGCTATTTTTGCCAAGAAGAAGATAAATTCCTTATGGAGTGTCATTGATGCCCATCTTTTTCTTTGAAGTAAATCAGTGCTGCCAGGAGCAGACATGTCTCACTGTCCAGAAAGTCTAAATTTTTAAAACATTTTAAATGCCACATTCTGTATGTCTTTGAGGTGTTTGAAGATTACCTATCTATCTGAAATATATCTATGTATACCCAGAAAACTTAACATGACTATAAGTTTGACTATCATAGAAGACTAATTATTAATCTGTTTCTCAACTATACATTACAATTTCAAATGAGTTGCACAAAATACTTTAAACAAGAGTAGAAATATACATACAGTATAACAAAATTAACTTTAAATTTGTATCAATAAACTAAAACCCATAGAAATGTAAAATATTTCAAACAAGTAGTTGCTCTTTAAAAGTAGATTCAATAATCTACCCTTTTATCCTATCATATCTATATCCTATATTTTTATATCATACCCTCCTTTCTTCTTTTAGAAAGAGATTGACTATGACCAATAACAATTTGCAACCACGGGCTGGAGAGATGGCTCAGAGGTTAAGAGCACTGGCTGCTCTTCCAGAGGTTCTGAGTTCAATTCCCAGCAACCACATGGTGGCTCTCAACCATCCGTAATGAGATCTGGTGCCCTCTTCTGGCCTCCAGACATACATGCAGGCAGAACACTATATACATAATAAATAAATAAATTTAAAAATAAAAAAAAAAAAAACCATTTGCAACCACAATCTAAACAAAGACAAACATCCATAATCCATTTTTTGGGAGTGTGGGCATAGTTTTCTAGCCAATTCCTGCTGATAGGGGGTGCTGGTAGTCTCATGGGGATCAAATATGTTGCTCTGATTGGTTGATAAATAAAGCTGTTTGGCAATGGTGAGACAGAATAGGGTTAGGTGGGACATTCTAACTAGAGAGGAGGAAGGAGAAATGCAGAACAGGGAGATGTTGCCAGCTGCCACCATGAGAAGCAAGATGTAAAGATACCAGTAAGCCATGAGCTATGTGGCAAGGTATAGATTTATAGAAATGGGTTAATTTAAGAGGTAAGATCTAGCTAGCAAGAATCCTGAGCCATTAGGCCATACAGTTTTAATGAATATGAGCCTCTGTGTGTTTATTTGGGTCTGAGTGGTTGCAAGGCCCGGGCAGGACACAGGAGAACTTCAGCTACAATTTTACTTTTAAATATTCATGTGTATGAGTGTTTTGCCTGTATGCATTAATGTGCACCATGTGCATACCTAGTACTCAAGAATGCCCGAAGAAAGCATAAGACCCTCTAGAACTGAAGTTACAGACTGTTGAGAGCCACCATGTGGGTTCTAGGAACTAAACCTATGTCCTCTGCAAGTGCTTTTAACCACTGAGCCATCTCTACAGCCCCCAAAAGTTGCATTTTTAAATGCCCAAGACCCATGATACCTACAGTATCTGGATCCTGGCACATGCTCTGTTGTCTTTGATGGTTCTGAAATGGGACAGAAAGCATAAGTGTCAGGCCCTAGGGAGTGAGTTCTCTAGAGGTGTGTGTGTGTGTGTGTGTGTGTGTGTGTGTGTGTGTGTGTGCACAAGCACTGTGTACACCCACATGCATGATAATATGACTTCCCTTGGTAGGCAGTACATATAATATAAACTACAAGAAATTGATGGATGTTCTGTGGCAGAAGAGCAAGAAACCTTGGCTTTGTACCAACTCTTCCCAAGAGAGAGGTAGACAAACGTCTCCTAACCCCATCAAGGGTACCAGTGACAGAACAATGAAATGATTCCACCTGAGTCTAGTCTGGTGAGCCAGTGAGTTTATTGGACTTTTTTATAACATCACTAAAAAAGGTCCCACTCAAACCTTGGTAACCTTCTCAAAGCTGCACCAAAGGAGTCCCCCCTTTTAGTTATATTGCACCTCCAGAGGCCATGGGAAGCTGGTGGAGTATCTGGAATCTCAGGTGGGAGTGTTGACGACACCCCTCCTCTTTTGATGCAGCTTTTGCAGGCCTGATCTACAGAGAAACTGCCATGGTGGACAGCTAGGAGGGATGGTATTAGTGAGTAAGCTGACGTACAGGGTATGGACAAGGATACTAAGGAGAGATTGCCTGTGAAGCATGCCTTTCAAAAACAAACATTTGTAAAGGGGAGAGGAAGTAGCTTGTGGGTGGGGAGGTGTCTTAGTCACTGTGCTGTTGCTGTGAAGAGACACCATGACCAAGGCAACTCTTATGAAAGAAAGCACTTGATTGGAGGCTGGCTTACAGTTTCAGTGGTTTAGTCCGTTACCACTAGTGGGGAGAATGGCAGCGGGCATGGCAGGCATGGTGCTAGAGAAGTAGCTGAGAGCTACATCCTCATCCACAGGCAAAGCCTACCCCAGTGACACACTTCCTCCAACAAGGCCACACCTCCTAATCTTTGTAATTCTTTCAAAAGAGCTGAAGCATGACAGATGGAGAGCCACATCATCTTGGGCTACCTTTCAAACAGTGCCACTCCCTGGTGACTAAGCATTCAAATACATGAGACTGTGGGGGCCATTTTTAATCAGATCACCACAGGAGACAACATGTGTTCAGGAGTGCCCAGGGAGGAACTATATACCTCCATCTGGACTCTCGGATTTGGTGGGTAACTGGGGATGGTTACATAGTCATGTAATTAAAAATATTTTGGAATGTTTTTTATCTTCAAAATCAGATTCTACCTTATTAGCATTTTTAAATACTAAGAAGAAACCATGAATATAGTGTTTAAGAAACAAGCCTGGTATCTGAGAAATGCCTCAGTGAGCAAAGGTGTTTGCAGGAATCATATAAAGATGAGAGGAGAGAATCATCCCTTCCAGTTGTCCTCAGACCTCCACCCACGTGCAATGGCATGCACTCATCCTTAATATGTGTGTGCAGGCACATCACATGCACACACATGCAAATAATAAATACAGACTTTAAAAAATAAGAAAAGTGTGTGAGGGACAAATGTAGCAGGAATCCTAAAGAGTCTTTATTAATAAAACAAACCGGAGCCAAGTATTGGGGTGAACACTGGAAGATCAGAGAGACAGAACAAGCCACAGCTAACCTCACCTGGCCAACTTCTCAGCTGATCCTGTTTCCTCAAACTGGAAGCCTCTGAGTCTTATCCAAATGAAATCTCAGCTGAACTGCTGCTAGAAGCCCGAATGCTTCACTAGCCAAATGCTTCTAGTTTCTGGTCCTCATGCCTTATATACCTTTCTACTTTCTACCACCACTCCCTGGGATTAAAGGCTCGCTTTCTGGGATTAAAGGCGTGAGTCACCATGCTTGGCTGTATCCTTGAACACATGGATTTCTGCCTCTGGAATGCTAGGATTAAAGGTGTGTGCTACCACTGCTTATCCTCATGTTTAATATTGTGGCTGTTCTGTCTCTGACCCCAGATAAGTTTATTAGGGTGCACAATATTTTGGGGAACACAATACCACCACAGACAAACTTAGGCTCCTCATCCCTGGGTCCCCACAGCAGTCCCCAGGGCTGGGCAGAACTGGGGAGGCGGCTTCTCAAGCCTGTGGAGTACTGAATGACTTTGTCATAACAGGGTTTTACTTCAGGTATCTGTTATGACTTGAGTGTGTCCCCTCAAATTCATATATGGGAGTTGTAATGCCTAGAACCTCACAGTGACCATGCAGACTGTAAGGAGGTGAATTAAAACAAAGTCACTAGCATGGGTGCTAATTCTGGACAGGCAGGGATGGAGGGAGGCCACACGAGGGCACAGAAAGGCACCATCTTCAGGAGAACCAACCCTGTGAGCACCTTGATCTGGGCTGTGCAGCCCCTAGAACTGCAAGGAAACTATTTTTGTTCTGGAAACCCCTCTGTGTTTTGATATTACTGTCTGAGATGACTAACAGTGCCTTTGAAAATGCTTTGCATTTTCTTTTGCTGTAGTTGGGATTAAACCCAGGCCTTGTGCATGCTAGGCCAGTGCTCTACTACTGACCTCCTTCTATCCCCACCCTGTGTGGTTGTGAGAGTGCGTGCATGCATGTGTGTGTGTGCATGTATGTGTGCATATGTATGTGTGCACACATGTGTATATGTGTGTGTGTGTGTGTGTGTGTGTGTGTGTGTGTGTGTGTGTGTTATGCATGTGTGGATGTCAATCCGTGGGGGGGAGCACACATATATGCACATGTGTAACATTTAGAGTAAGGATGACGTATACTGGAGACTGACCTTTTAGTGTCCCTCTAGATACCACAAATGCAAGGCTAGCTGGCCTCAGAGCTGTAGAGAATCTGTTCTCCCGTGTTCAAGTGTTGGGGGCCCTACTGTACTATACAAGTTAGCTTTGCTCTCTCTGCAGGCCAAGTTGATGCCCTACATTTCCAGACTGAGTTTCTTCCAGCCTTGAGTTGATTTTTCTTGCTTGCTCATCAGTGCTTTCTGCTGAACACTTCTGCTGAAGTCTGTTAATCTTATCTCCTTTTGTAACCTTTTTCTCATGCTGGCGTTCACTAAACTAATGCAGATATGAGTATGGGGACATGATGACAGGCCCAGCAGTAACCACAGTCCTTTCCACACACTCAGATGCACACCTGCTCTGGCAGAGGCACCAGAGGCTGAGTTCATGTTCTTGCAAACACTTACCTCCCCTGTGAAGAGGCTCAGATCTCCCACCAGGCAGGTGGGCTGAAGGGGCCTTCTCTAGATGGATTATCAACAGACGGAGTCAAGGTATCCTCAGTCACTGGCAGCTTTGGATGCTGCCTTCATCTGTGCGACGAAGACGTTAGTCAGCAAGACCTCTGACATTCTTCTCAGCTCCAGAATTGGGTGAACTGTGAGTGCAAGAGCCGTAAGTGTATCAGAGATCAGTTTCCTTGTGAGTTCACATGAGTGCAAGAGCCGTAAGTGTATCAGAGATCAGTTTCCTTGTGAGTTCACATGAGTGCAAGAGCCGTAAGTGTATCAGAGGTCAGTTTCCCCTTGAATTCACAGGTTTTGCCGTTCGTCAGGCTTTGATGTCTGTCTTTCCGACTCTGTGGGTGGCCTGCCCCCAGGCACCCGTGCACTGCTATTGGTGTCCCTCTAGGGAAACTCTCATCTACACAGGGACTGGGAGTGGGACGAGGGGCCACACAGTGTTAAACACTAAACCGAGAGAAGGGAGGAAGATCCCAACAGGGTACTGGCTCTGGGATACTGTCCTGTTCAGTTGCTACGATCAAACATCTTGTACTCTCTGGGTGGGGGCTGCTGGACTCTCAGCATGCGCAGTGCCAGGAATTAAGCAGTTGTGACACTCAGAGCTAGTGAAGAGTTGCTACTGCTTTGCTTGAACAAGTTTTACTGGTGATGTCTCTCTTGACTGTCCCAGCCTGAGCAACTTTTTCCATTCTCCTGTCCATTGTACCTCCCATGGGGATACTCTCATCTACCCTCACTTGCTAAAATGGGTAGCCGATAAAGTCTGATGGTGGCCTATGGCTGCTGAGCTGGCCCAGGCAGCTGGTTCTCTGCACGTCAGGTCTCACTGAGAGATGGCTGCGCCTGTGCCCAAGCCTCACTGACTCAGATGTGCCCACTGCTCTGAAATGAAGTAAGTTGGATATTATGAAAATTGACGAACAGCAAGTGAGAAGGTGGGAAATGCAGCTTGCTTAGCACGTGAGACTCCATGTGTTCGATTCCTGGCACTGAGAGAGGAAAGGAAGGTGCTTCCCCTAAGAACTGAGCTGAATGTGTTGGCAAATGGCTCCCCAAACATCCGCTGTCAGAACAGGAGTGTAACAGCCAGACTGGGGGGACTAGAAGAGACAGCCCCTGACGGCTCCATTCAGCGCTCAATTTTGATAATGAAACCCTAAGTGGATCTCAGTGATGTGCCGTGGTGTGGGCTGTAAATGACTGGCCTGTCATCGCATCACTCCAGAGGCTGAGCAAAAAAAGGAACTGCTGGGATTTCGAGGCCAGCTTGGGCTACACAGCAAGGCCCTAGGAAGGTGACAGCAGGGGGACCTAGCTCCCTCCTTCCCATCAGCCCTGTCGCCCAGGGAGAACACTGTCCCCAGTACAGTATTCTCTACGTGGAAAGATTTTCTTCCCACTTCTTCACTGTGTCCAGGGCAAGGGATGGAAGCAGAAGTCCCTGTGCTTGTGTGTGTGTGTGTGTGTGTGTGTGTGTGTGTGTGTGTGTGTGTGTGTGTGTGTGTGTGAAGGCTCACTGGCTTGGCATATCTGTGCAGACTTGTTAAAACCTATCTCTGTGAGCCAGGACTGAGCCCTAGTCTCACACGAATAAAGCTGTAAGGACTCCAGGGGACTTCTGCCAGTCTTCTAGGAGTTTGGAGTGCATCGGTGTCTGCTGCATTTGGTGTGCACCAAGAGGAAGATACAGTGAACTAGCTGAGGGGCTGGTTTAACGGGGAGAGTGCCTTGTTTTTTTAAGCAGAAAAAGTCCAGCAAATACTTGACCAAGCCAAGCCTCTCGCAGAGAGGGAAACTAGTCTAGGCCTCCTATCGCATAAGAGACGGAGCTCCAGCTTAGAGAGCAGGAGCAGACTGAGCCATGGTTTGATTATTTTAAAAGTTGTTAAGAGAGAGACTGGTGACATGGCCCTGTGGGGAGGAGCACCTGCTGCCAAGTCTGACCACCTCAATTTAATCCCCAGGACCCACACGGTGTAAGGAGAGAACCAACTCCCAAAAGTTGTCCTGTGACCTCCACATGTGTGCCGTGGCACACACACAATCAATGTAAAAGGTTAAAATAATGTTAAAAGAATAAAACCAGATGCCTGCTCCCAGTTTATCTTATTTCTGATTGTTTGTGTGAATGACTTTCAAGCTGTAACAAGCTTTAGATTACAAAATTTCTAAATTTAGAGCTCAGGACCACTCCAATGTGTGAAAAACTTGAGCATTTGACTGCTGCTAGTCTGGTGGGAGGGAGCCAAGGCCCTTCTCAGGGTCAAGGGCCATCCCAAATACGGCAGTCTGCTGGCTCCAGCCTGGGAGTGAGGCCTTGTCTTGGGGCCTTAAGTCGGGGTCTGCAGTCAGACCATTTTGGGGAATTCTTCTAGAACCTAAGAAAGGCATGGGATCCTGAAGTGAGACAGTAGCCCAGCAGTCACCCAGTTGAGGCTCCTGTGGCCAAGTGCCACTCTATTCCCTCCCCATAAACACATACCCAGGGCCCTCAGTGCGAGTAAGCAACTGAGGTACTGAATATTTACAAACTATCATCCCTGCCCTCCAGGGTCATCACCACCACTGACACTAGGGGAACCTACCTACTAAAAGCTCTCATATCCCAGGATGTGCACTGGTACTTAGGAGAATTTATGTTAAATATAGTAGAAGTGCTAGGGTGGCGGCACATGCCTTTAATCCCAGCATTTGGGAGGCAGAGGCAGATGGATCTCTTCAAGTTCAAGGTCAGCCTGGCCTACAGAGAGAGTCCCAGGACAGCCTGGGCTACACAGAGAAACCTTGCCTTGAAAAACAAACAAAGAAATTCTATTTCTTTAGTTAGTTATTGGTATGGTTTGAATGTGATGTTTTATTTTGTCACTATGGATAACTTCCCCGAATCTTTCCTATTTCGGTCTGGAATCTGCTTGCCTGAAAACGCTCTCTCTTACCGTTTGCACAAAGCCAACAGCCTTAAGGCTTTTCTAGACCCAATCAAAGAGCTTGATGATGCTTCCCTCTGGCAGGCATCACCCACTGAGGCCTTCCTTTGGGGTGCAATCGACCTGAAAGATTTCCAAGTATCTTGTCAAGGTGGGATGTTCTCAGGTATTCAAAGTCCTGCCAGGCCACTGTGTGCAGAAGACGGGGTGGGGCAGGAGTGGGGCAAGAGTGGCAGGCGGGTTGGACAGGACTGAGAGCCTGAGGCTGGCAATGGCAGGAGACCAGTGCTGGGCACTGTACCTCTAAGGAAGGCTCCAAGATTGACTCTGGAGGGGCAGAGTGTCACTTAACTGTCAACCCTCTGCGGGACTGAAATGGAGGGTTCCTGGGGCAGGATGGGCCCTCCATGAAACGCAGTCCCAGTTGGCAGAGAGCCCTTGTCCTCCTGAATGCAGTCTCTAACTGGACTCCATACAGGGAGGCTGCGCTGTGGGAAAGGCTTCTTCTTTTCCTTGGCGGGGTAACTGTGGGAAGGTGAGGAGACCAAGAGACAGTGGGTGTCTGGACTGTGGCTCCCTGTCTCAGCAGTTCAGAGAGGGTAGGTCTCAGAGTGTCCCTTTATATCCCTGCCTTCAGGGGCAGTGTCCCATGGCCCTGGCCAGTAGAGGAAGGTGGCCACTGTCCTCACACGCTGAGCTTGGCGGGTGGCCACAGCTGACTTGCAGAGCACCTAACCCTGTTCTGAGCAGCAGGGTCCCAGGCTCAGAGTCAGAGACATGGTGCAGTGACAGCAGTGTGCTGCCCGTGGTGACTCTGCATGGCAGGGACAGAAGGGAATGTTCACTGCACAGACCCTCAGCCTTCCAGAATCCTGAGTAGTCTGTGTCCATTGTTCTTTTTGGTGGAATTGCCTAGAATAAAGTTTACTTAGAGAAGTCTAATAAAAATGACTGAAAAGTAAAACACATAAAAACTTTATTGTAAGTATCACACACCTAAATTTGCATCAATTTGACACATTGCTGCTCATTTTGCAGAACACACCCACCAGTGCAGTTTGCTTTAGGACAATCATCAACTTCTAGAACTGTTTGTGCTCACAGTGGGCTGCCTCCTGCCTACACCTCCCTGACTGTGCCCCACAGTGGGTATTGCCTCACCCACTACAAGGGGGCAAGGATGGGGCTGCTGCCAGAAGAGCTGGTGGTGTGTGCAGAGGGCCAGCAGGTTAGCCCAAGTGGGGCTGAGCCACACCGACCAGCTCTGTGCTCTCTGCACAGGCCCCACAAGTTTCTAGAAAGCAACTTTCTCTGCTCACTTCACCTCTTACTCTGTTTCACCCCTTAGCCTGAGTGGCTCCCATAGGGCATTCTGGGCAAAATAAACCCCAGTTAGGTATTATGGAGTATTCCAGAACCTGAAGTTGGCACTGGATTGTTATTTTTACTGAAAGCAGGGAGGAGTTGGGACAGATTCCCTAGGCTGGAGGGAGCTCATCTCCTGCTTCCTCCCTCATGGAGGCCTGGAGGACACTGTCCAGTGTGTGGGCAGTATGGGCAGGACAGCCACTGGGATGTGAACACAAATTTAAGAGAAAAAATAGTCCATAAAGAGTAGTGTGACACATCCTTCCTGGTGTCACGTGACCTGCCCCTCTACTGAGATGAGGACAAGCAGACTGCTCCACATGAGCATCATGACAGCTGTTCCCATCCGCGTGCTATAAACTGCCACAGAAACCTGCAACTGTCATGCATTTGAACATGTTAAGAATGACGATTCTCCAAACTGAGAAAGGCCCAGTAAAAAAATAAAGATAGAAAATACATGCTAATTTAATGGCAAACTTATCTGATACTACAATGGTAACCATCTTGGAGTTAAGGACAGTGTATGGTGGGGACCACCCTCTCCTCTTGAGGACATCTGTGCTGGAGTCTGCTGGGTCTTCAGGCTGATGTGGTGGCAGGGACATGCCACTGTCACTCAACAGCTGGGCTGAATGTCAGTGCTGCAGCAGGAAGTTGGTGGCCACATTGAGGTCATTGTTTGAGGCCCTCAGGGCCTCCAAGGCATCTCCTCTGGAAAATCCCATCTCCATGAGCCGGGCAACCTGCAAAGAGAGCAGAAAACTGAGGGCCAACAACACTAAGTGTAGCTGGAGTTTTCCAGTCCTGCCTGGCCCATGGTCAGGACAAATCTCTCTCACCCGCCAGTCCCACAGCGGCTCAGACCCAACTGAGTAAACACAGAGACTTATATTGCTTACAAACTGTATGGCTGCAGCAGGCTTCTTGCTATCTAGTTCTTTTTTTTTTTTGTTATCTAGTTCTTGTATCTTAAATTAATCAATTTCTATTAATCTATAAGTTGCCACATGGCTTGTGGCTTACCGGTATCTTTTACATGTTGCTTGTCATGGTGGCGGCTGGCAGCGTCTCTCTGCCTCAGCCTTCCACTTCCCAGAATTCTCTTCTCTGCTTGTCCCGCTTATACTTCCTGCCTGGCTACTGACCAATCAGCATTTTATTTACACCAAGCGATATCCACAGCAATTAAGTTCTTCCTTAGCCCACATGATTTTCACATGACTTTGTGGGAAAGCTCAAAGCTTCTAAAATAACCAGAGTCAGTTCATTTCTATTCCCAGGTCAGATCTGACAATAAAAGATTATTAAGTCTAGACCTGTAATCTAGCCTATAATCCCAGCAGTTGGAAGGTGGAAGCAAGAGCACCAGGAGTTCAAAGTTAGCCTGGGCTACAGAGTGAGTTTGAGTCTAGCCTGGGCTACATGAGACCCTGTCTCAAAAAACAAAACAAAACAAAGCTGAGAGGAGGGTTCATCTGATAAATCATTTGCCTTGCAAGCACAAGGGTACTCCAGTACCCATGTAAAAATGCCAGGTACAGTGGACTGTATTCCAAGGAGGAGACCCAAGGTTGTCCTCTGGTGCATGTGCTCTCTCTCTCCTTCCTTCCCTCCCTCTCTGAAAAAAAAAAAAAATCAACAAAAACGACTAAAGGTAATCCAAGTGTTTACTATATCACAGGAAAATCTCATGTGATCCTTACTGTATTCATTACTTTTCTTGGCGCCATGACTAAACACCTGACAGAAAGTGACTTATGGGAGAGAGGGTACAGTCTGCCATGGTGAGGAGGGCATGGCGCAGTCATGGAACTGTGACTCCGCACATCTCAGCGGACTAGGAACCAGCCAAAGTGGAATGCTGGAGCTCAGGGGCATCTTCCTGTTTCCCGCTTTGTTCGGACTGGGAACCCAGCCACAGGAGGGTGCTGTTCGCATCAGACACACCCAGAGGGGCACCCCATTAATGCCCTAAGCGTCTCCTAATCCAATCATGCTAATAACCAAAAGTAGCCATTACACAAAATAGACAAGGAAACAGAGCTTCTGAGGCTCTGACGCAGTGGGGTCCACTGGGGCCAGGCTGTGAGAAGGCCACTGGCCACACTCCTGCGTCAAGTGTGATCCTGGAGGGAGGCTCTGAAACAGGCATGTGTGCATGTGTGCACACACATGCCAACAAGTCCATCACTGGAGTTGCACTCCTGACACCACAGCTCTGACGTCACCATGTACTTGGTTGCTGGCATGGCCAGTTTCTTGCCTGTAGGCACTCTGGTCTCTTCTACAGAGGCAGCATGTGCTGAGTCCTGCTTGACGCCTGGGGCTTCTGTAGGCAGCAGTAGCCATATGCAAGGAGAGCTGAGGCAGGGGCAGTAACTGAGAAATGGAGGTAACCTAAAGCCACTGGGGGCAGGAAGTGCCAGGCTTGCACAGACCACAAATCTTGGTTGTGTGAGTACGGAGGCTTCCTGTACTGTGTTCATAGTAGTCTTCAATGCAGACAGGTGGAGCCCCCAAACTTATCCATAACCTGCTTTCTCAATTAGGCAAAGAGTTCAGGCTGGGTGTAATTACAGCACTTATGAGCCAGAGGTGAGAGGTCAAGTCTAGACCTGTCACAGTGAATACAAGGCCAGCCTAGGCTACATAAGATTCCATCCCTCTGTCTCAACAACAACCCCACAGAGATATTTACCGCCTGGACGGACTACCTACACAACAAAACATAGGACACTTGCAATAACGAGCAAATGATGAGACGGATAAATGCCAAGCTTTTTGCTGCTATACAGGGACAAATCTGAGGTCTTAGTGTCCGTTTTAAATTTTCTTTCTGGTTGAAGGCAAGTGCTGGGTACTATACATGGAAAGACCACGATTTCCCACTGAGCTCCAGCAGGTGAGCGGCTGAAGGAGAGGCTGATGTGGGGATGTCTCTTTAATGGGAATTACTATCAAGAAGAATGTATAGGACGGGGGACCTCAAGTGACCCAGAACTCTCCTCTCCCAAGGAACTCTGGGGCAGGGGCCGAGAGGAAACAGGCACACATGCACACTGGTCTGAAGCTGGAGTTTTAGCGTGTGGTTTTCAAACAGAAGGCATCGTTTATCTCAGTTATGGTCATGAGCACTTAGTGGGGATGAGGAGAAGTCTAGATTATAGCAGGAGGTGTTTGCCCTGCATCTTTCATTCCCAGGTCCCATGTCCAGGATGCATGCATAGGCTGCATTTCTCACTGTGGCTGTGGTTCGAATGATACACAAATTGATTCTGTAAGGATCAGCCTGTGCTGTGGTGGGCTGGCCCACACGCACTGATGGAGTGATGGCAGGGCTGGATACAGCTCAGCCCTGCCTGGTGTGGGGAGAACAAGGCCATTTCTTTAAAGCTTCCTTTCCCTTCCAGGTTCACTCCTCAGGTGAGCAGCAGAACAAGAGGTCTGCTCTGAGGTCCCAACGGGAAGTCCTTGCTCATGTGGACAGAACCTGTCATCATCTGTGGTGGCAGCTCCCCTTGCTCTCCTGGCTCCCTGGCTCTCCTGGCTCCCTGGCTCTCCTGGCTCCCTGGCTCTCCTGGCTCCCTTGCTCTCCTGGCTCCCTGGCTCTCCTGGCTCTCCTGGCTCTCCTGGCTCCCTTGCTCTCCTGGCTCTCCTTGCTCCCTGGCTCTCCTGGCTCCCTTGCTCTCCTGGCTCCCTTGCTCTCCTGGTTCTCCTGGCTCCCTTGCTCTCCTGGCTCCCTTGCTCTCCTGGCTCTCCTGGCTCCCTTGCTCTCCTGGCTCCCTTGCTCTCCTGGTTCTCCTGGCTCCCTGGCTCTCCTTGCTCCCTTGCTCTCCTGGCTCCCTGGCTCTCCTGGCTCCCTGGCTCTCCTGGCTCCCTGGCTCTCCTGGCTCCCTGGCTCTCCTTGCTCCCTGGCTCTCCTGGCTCCCTTGCTCTCCTGGTTCTCCTGGCTCCCTTGCTCTCCTGGCTCCCTTGCTCTCCTGGCTCCCTGGCTCTCCTGGCTCCCTTGCTCTCCTGGCTCTCCTGGCTCCCTTGCTCTCCTGGCTCCCTGGCTCTCCTGGCTCCCTGGCTCTCCTTGCTCCCTGGCTCTCCTTGCTCCCTGGCTCTCCTTCCTCCCTGGCTCTCCTGGCTCCCTGGCTCCCTGGCTCTCCTGGCTCCCTGGCTCTCCTGGTTCTCCTTGCTCCCTGGCTCTCTTTACTTCTCTCTGCTGGCACCCAGCTCTGGGCTCACCCAGCTCCCGCTGGCTCTACAGCCTCCCTTTGCTCTGTCATCTCTTCCAGGGGCTCTTCCCTTTGCTGCTGGCCTGATGACTCCTCCTCACCCATGTGACTTTTAGGCACCTGCCCTTTCCTGTCTCTGGCTAGAAGGATCCCAGACTAGAAATCCCTGGGGTCCTACAGACCCGTGTTGTGAGAGAACAACTTAAAAAGGGTTAATTTCGCCCCTCATGGTAGAGACAGCCTGTGGAGCAGCTTATATGATGGCAGAAAAGAAACAGAGAAAGAGACAGTTAGGTGCCAGGGACAGGGCATCCCAAGGACCTGCCCTAATGACCTGCTTCCTCCAGATAGGTCTCACTTCCCAAGACTAGTTAGGCTTTGACACAGGAGCCTGGGATGGACATTTGTATTCAAGCTAGCACCTTCCATTCCTGGGGCTAGGGATGTGGCCCAGGTAGTAAATGTTTGCCTAGCATACATGAGGCCCTTGGATTTAATTCCCAGCAGACACTGGACTTGACAGTGCACACCTGCAATCCTGGGACTGAGGAGATGGAGGCAGGAGCGTCCCGACTACATAATGGATTTGAGGCCAGCCTGGGGTACATGAGACGCCATTAAAATGAAAATCCACCCCTGTCTTAGTCAGTGTTCTATTGCTGTGAAGAGACACCATGACCATGGCAACTCTCATAAAAGAAAATATTTAATTGGGGCTGGCTTACAGTTTCAGAGGACTACTCCATTATCGTCATGGTGGAACATGGTGGCATGCAGGCAGACATGGTGCTAGAGAAGTAGCTGAGGGTCCTACATCTTGACTTGCAGGAAACAGGAAGTGATCTGTCTCACTGGGTGTGACCTGAGCATATATAAGACCTCAAAGTCTGCCTTTACAGTGACACACTTCCTCCAACAAGACCATACCTACTCCAATAAGGCCACACCTCCTAATAGTGCCACTCCTTTGGGGGGCCATTTTCTTTCAAACCACCACAACCCCTAAACCACAAAGCGTATTGCCATCTCATACGGCATAATACATTTATTCTATCTCTTGCGTCCTTGGTCTTAGTAATTCCATCAATGTCCAAAAGTCTCTTTGAGACTTAATACAAACTCTTAGCTATGAATCATGTTAAAACAAAAAAGAATTATCTACCACCAACACAAAATGGCATATGAAAACACTTCAATTCCAAAGGCAAGAACAGGAGTGAAGAAAAAAAAAAAAAGAAGAATAGACCACACTGCAGCAGAACAAACATGCTTGGTGTATAGAGGACACATGGTCTCACCCTGACTTGAGGTCTATTGGGCAGCCCTGTCTCCATCCACTGCTTTCCCTGGCATAAGTTCCCTGTTCCTGGCATTGCCATTATCACCACCTGCTCAGGGGTTGCCTTCTGTGACTCAGCCTTGCTACAATGCCTGGCCTCCCAGATTTTCCTTTGAAATATGGGTAGAAACTTGCATGAGTCTGAAACTCCTGGATTCTGCCTGTCTGTAATGCACCATCACAG